CGGGTATTTGGCTGGAAATCTTGGTCAAAATTTAGTTCCGGGTAATTGGTGTAAAATGTTGTTATCATTTGTTTATTTCATGTGCAGATATTAAATAGTAGACAAAGTTTGCAGATATGAAATTATGCAAATGGATCATGGATTGTTTATATATGAAATGTAAATTGAGATGAAGAATTCGTAGACACAAGCTAAGTCGAGTAGACGGTTCCTAACATGTTAGTGACATGAAATAATTGAACTCCAATGTTCATTTCTTTGAAATTGCGCATTATGATTTGTTCTTAAAATTGTTCCTTTTATCAAGCAAAATGGAGGATGTGGATTCTTCTTCTAGTGTAACGCACCTATGTATCCCAGATCTGTGAAGATAATACATGGTTTGTTTAGATCCACAAATGCATATGTATAGGTCTTGTATAGGTCTTGGAATTGCAGAGAGAGAAGATGACTTATGATGGTTGAATGTCGGTTTTTGGTTTCTGGTTTCGTTTGTGAATTTTTTATAATGTAGGTCATGAATGGTAGAACTCGGACTTTTAAGATTGTATTTTGGTAGCGTTTATGTAAGTTATTAAGATGTATTGTTATAATGTGATAAATGTATTTTAAACACTTATCTAGACTGTTAAATGAGATTAATTGTTGCTGATTTAGAAAAATTTTGACTTAATTATGTTTATATATTGTTTATCGGAAAGTGCTACATATACATAATTGTCAACATGATGGTGTCCATAATTACACGTGGCACTGGATCCAACATTTAATTCAAATCTCACACTTGCACATCAACAACCGAATGATTGTCACATCACATTATGGACACCATTATATACACTAATTATATACAAGTAGAATTTTCCTTGTTTATTAGGTAAATTTCGATGCAAATTGATGGAATTAGAAGAAATAAACAAAATATTAGCACAAAGGAAAGAAATTCAAAGTTCGAGGATCAAAGTGAAAAATATCAAATAGCTTGTCAAAACCACTAACCAACAACTGAGGAATTCAAGAGTCAAATTAGAAGCAATTGAAAATTGAAGGACCAAAATCATATCAAGAAAGGACTCAAGAAGACCATTAGAGAAAAAGTGGAACCAAAATGTCAGTTTTGGAAGAATGAAGGTGGCTCGCGCGCACCGGCTACTTTTTGAAATTCTGAGAGCAAATGAATGCCACGATGCGCATGCATGGCTGATTCCCGTCGGATGAATTAACAATTTCTTTTTACGATTCAAAATTTTTTTGAATTCAATTTGAACATGGTTTTGACCTTTTTTCGACTCCTTTAAATATAGAACTTGGGCAAAATATTGAAGATCCCTCTCTAACGAACTAGAATTTTGCTTTGATTAGGATTCGTTTCGACTTTTCAAACATATGTTAAGGATTTGAATACCCTTCAATCGTTTTTTATTAATAATATTTAGTTTTCCCTCTACCTGGTGAATTCAGTATTTCTCAAAACATATTTCGAGCGAAAGTCGAACAACATTTGTTCGTGTGTTACAAATAAGAATCTTTTTATTATTATTCACATATTTGTCATGTGTCAACTTCTTAATGGTCTAATCTTATAAGATTATTTTAGATCACAACTATGATGGCAAAACACTTTGCATGTACTCCAAATATCTCGAATTTGCCCAAATCTTGTTATTAAAGCTAAATTTTATTTAGTAAATAATTAATTAGATGAACGGTAATTATCGATATATTAATGCCACCCGACTTGTGTCCCGTGGCTCACAAAAATTCTTGAGAAGGTTGCGATTCTTAATCATCGTATGTTTCTATCTAATCCATACTAAATATTTTAATGAGAAAATCTATCGCTAGATTTAATCGTCTAGTTTCCATACGTAGGCAATTAACTTGTCATTATTATTAGGTAACCCAGATTATTTAGGTACGTTAGCATAAGATTTGATTAAGAATGTATATAAATCAATATATTGTAAGGGAACACGTGGTGTTTCATGTAATAATATTCGTAATAAATTTATACGTATTCGGGCAGCTTTGGATCTTGAATTAATGAGTCAGTAGTAAGTATAGACCAATTACTATTCTTTAATTTAAAAGCTCTCCATCGGATAATTGAATATTAATGTGATTAGGTTGTCCAATTATTTAATAAATGGAAATTTTTTATTTATTTTTATTTTTCATTTTTTATTGTGGCTATAGATTAAAATTAAACCCAAACAATTAGATCAAATCTAAAAGATCGCAGCTAGAGAACTCATCTTACAACCCTAGACATATGTTTAAGTATAATTCGTATGTTTAACTAATAACTAGTAGTAAACACGTGCGTTGCACGTTTTATGTATCAGACGAATGATATGCCTAATATTTTTATGTACTAATAATGTTTTTGGAAATAGTTGATGTAATTAATATTACTAAAGGTAAAATTAAAATTGTTAAAAAATATATACATGAATAACACTTTTTATAAAATTATGTATATAATGTGAAAGGTTAAATAAATTGAAATGTAATACTTTCATTTGAATAACATTTCTTTGTACTCAATATTTTTTGTTAACCTCCTACAACTTTCTTTTTTTTATTTTCTATTTTTAGTCTTTTATTAAAACTTTTGTTGTTTGCATTGAAACTCTACAAAAAAAGTGTGAGATATAATCGCCCATAAGATAATATATGTTCAGAAATGTGTATTCTAATAGTAAGCATTATTTGTCCTTAAACTTTGTTAATCGACTTAATAAAATATGTCGTTTCGAGTAAATTATAAATATAAATAGTATTATTGTAATTTCGTTTAATTGTATGTAATAATATTTTTATTAATTGTGTACTAATAATTAGTAATAATTGTATTTAGTGGAAATTAATTGACTTAATTTTTGAAAGCAATAACAATTATTAATTATCTTATTTAGAAGATATAAACTAAATATTAAGGGTATTGTTAATCACAAATATAAAGACGTAAAAGTAAAATGTGATATCGAATGTTTATCATCTATTCACACTTAGATTATTGGAAAATGAATTTTTTTTATCATGTTTTATCAAATTAATATAAATTAATGGTGATTAAAAAGTTGATGGATTATTAAAAAATGACTTTTCACGGGATTTTTTTTTTTACTATTATATTTTATTTTTAATGAATCTTTTAGGAATGCACTATTCTTTTAATCTGTAATATTAGGTTTAAGAAAATTTAAGCGTATATATAATTTTATTGTTTTTATAAATCTTATATATTAATATTAATTGATTTAATAGTCTATGGCATTTCATGTTAATTATATATGTGGTATTGTTATAATTTTTATTTTGTTTCTATATAAGTTTTTATTAATCGTATACTAATAATTAGTAATAATAGTGTTTAGTGGAAATTAATTGACTTAATTTAAGAGATAAATAATTTTTATTTTAATAATAATTGAATTTAGTTGAAATAAATTTAATTTTAAGGGTATTATTGATCATAAATATAAAAATATAAGGGTAAAATGGAAATTAAAGATATAGGATAAATGAGGGTATATTAGACTTAAAAGCTAAATATGTAAGGATACAATTGGTAATCAAAAGTTTCTTATCAATCTCCACTTTTAATATATTGTAGATAATTTTATTTGAGCATGCTAAAGTTTTTGAAATCTTTCTGTATTGAATTTTCTTTTAGTTCAATTGAATTTGCTTTTGCACAAGGCATCAATCACCACAATATATGCAAGTACTTGAAGACTTCCTCGGGTGCCTTGTCATGTTGGCACAAGCTCTGAAGGATTAAGGTGACAATCACACAATCAGTTTTTACACGCTTCACTGCCATCTCATTGCGGTAAGCCCGAGGTTTGTCTGTATTCCCAGACTCACAATATACATGAATTAAGGCACGATAACAATCTTTATCAGGAACTAATCCTTCCTTTTCCATGTCAACTAAAATAATATCTGCCTCTTTCACTTTCTTTTCCTTAACAAACCCATGAATCAAAACTCTATAGCAATGCACATCGATTGGTGGGGCATTATTATAAATGACCTGCTACTATTCATTTTTGATAAAATGTCTATTATACCCTTAATGAAATAATTTATCATATATTGCACAAGATATCCTTAATTTATTGGGATAGTTTTAAATTCCTCTATTTCTCTCATTTCGAGTTTTAATATATAATTTCATCCTTTGATCTAATAAATTAGCATAATCTGTAATATAATTGTCATGTAATTTACTAAGATTATCAAATTCCTTCGATAATATATCCATAATCTCTAATTGAAAATAAATATTTTCTATTTTTTCCATTAATCTATCTAACAGATTATCTAATCCTTTAATTGTATAACCTGGCATTATTCAAATAATTCCTTGCAAACTTTATGAATAATAACATATTTAGATAAGTTTTTTGCAAACATGAACAGTAATAATTCCTACGATTCTTTCAAGATATTAGAAGAATTCTTTCTAAATTTAACAAAGACAATAATTTTACCTTACTTTTGATCTTAAATCTGTATTCTTAGAACCGAGTGACCTTCAGGCTCTGAATCTGCAAACTGCTCCCTTAAACGGCCTCTTGCCTCAATGGGAATTCTGCTATTTCAGCTTCTTGCCCTCACTGTATCTTTTCTTAGAATTAAGAATAAAGATCTTAAGTAAAGAAAATTCTCTCTTTGTTAAAGTAAGAAAGAGATTATCTTCTTCAATCTATCAAGAATCTATGGGATAGAAAGTCAATAATAAAATACTACACACTCAGCATTTTTACATTCTTTTATCATTTTATCATACTTTTGTTTTATAATTTCAATACTTGTCAGTTCTTTTAATTTTTCATAATATCTTGCTTTTTCTTTATATCTTTCTTGTTTTAATTTTAATATCTGTTTTTCTTGAGTTTTAGTTATTTCTCCAGGTATTAATAATTCATCTAAAATTTTA